CTCTATGGAGTGGCCAGGAGAGAGGACTAGGAACTGTCCACCTCTTGATGGACACACATCAGCAGCAGAGAATGGCAAATGGCAGCGTGGAGTCTTTCTTGGCATCTGCCCAATCTCAGCCAGACTCCTGGCCTTTCTGGATCATCTGCTTCTAGGATGTAGTTTCTTCTGAAACATACCATTCTACATTAGTTTCCTGGAGACCCCAGAATCACAGCCACTGATCACTGATTATGTCTTATAAGTGTAACCTTTCCTGTCCCTCATGTATGACACCCAGATCCCAGGATATGGTTACTGCCATCTCCCTCTATGACAATTGAACACGTAGAGACATCGTGAGTTGTGGTGGGGGTGGTGGTATATGTAAGAGCCTGGGGGCCTGGAGAAGATCTTGAGTGTGCTTGCGCGTGCTCTCTCTCTCTCTCTCTTTCTCTCTCTCTCTCTCTCTCTCTCTCTCTCTCTCTCTCTCTCTCTCACACACACACACACACACATGAGCGCACACAAGGAATCAGGCATGAGGCAAGATACTAACTCTGACCATACAGAGAAAAGACAGCAGGCAGAAGTCCAAATGGGTTTTTATTTTGTTGCTCAAGATCTCCTGGAATGCTGCTCCCTAACCTTCCATGTAGAAGCTAGCAAAGCCTCAGGGTGCCTGGTCTTGGGCAGTGTTTCCAACTTACTACTCCTATTTAATTCGAAGTAGCCAACACATCTCCTTTGGCCTGACTCCATTCTTCTTCACTGGAAGGATGTTTTCCTCTGAAATCCTCTCTCTGCAATGAAAATTAATTAGCTCCCCAAAAGATGCAAGACGAAGAGCTATGCCCTTGGGAGAAGCCATGCTGTAGAGAGAGATATGGTAACCACGAGTTCAAGAACAGAGTGTGTCCTTTCTGTTACCAGACCAGAGACCTGAAAACTCCCCCTTGTACTTCCTGGGTGTTAGGCACATACACACTGGTAAGAGGGCTCTGCACACGTCAGGAGTCTCCATTACACCCAGCAACCTTCAGGCTGATGCACCCATCAGCAAGAATTCAGAAACTTCCATTGCCTCACCCACTAGCCCCCACCCTGGGGACTTTGTTGGTTAGGGAAAGAATGACACTTCTGTTCTCTGTCTTCTAGGAGCTATGGGAGACCTCATATAGCCTTCGAAATGTAATATCCATGTTTGCTTCCCAAAGTGAGTCCCCCAAAAGGGGACTTATACCTCAGGATTCCTCTGGACTGTATGTTGGCCTTGTGAATCCCTCAGATCCTGGGATGTCTCCGAGGAATGTCTAAGGATCAGTTTGTATCTACTCTGTTTCTCTGTGCACTGTGGGTATGGTTTCCCTGGTTTCCTGAACTCCACTTCCTGGGAACCCTCTCCTCACTCAGCATCCTTTGGGCAAGTCCCTGGCAGGTGGGTGGAGGCATCTGACAGACAGACAGGAGGAGCTAGCAGGATTATTTTCACAGCAATGGTGTCACTGCATTTTATGAGCCACCATGCTGTCGCTCCCTTAAAATACCCACCTCCTACAGGAAAAGGACAGATGAAGATATAAATTTAACAACATTGGGTAGGGGGAGGAAGGGTGATGGAGATTCTGGGATGTGGGGAGCTGACTTTGAGAAAACAGGAACAGAAATCCCACGATGCCTAGGCGAGGATTCTAATATACAAGGATAAGGGAATGCCAGCCCCAAAGATCAGGCTCAAAGAGCTGCCCAGATTTCCCAAGTTCTCACCTCAGGTCTGCAGCCCTCTTCTGTCTCCTCATCAGGTGTGGTCTTTCCTCAAACACATGCAGTTAGGATTATACTCTGGTCTCTCCATGGGCTTCGGCATGGCAGGCTCTTGGGAAAAAGGCTACTAGTGGGCAAAAGCAACATTTGAGAAGGCCTCTGAAGGAAGAGCAGTCTTCCTTCATTCCAGGGAGGGCAAAGCCCCAGGGAGGGCAAAGCCCCAAAGGCATGAAGCAGCAAAGAGAGGGTAATACATCTTCCAGATGACAACTGGTCAAAGCCCCAGGATAGCAGGTAGACTTAGGCCTGCTCATGCTGCCTAGTCTCCTGATAGTTTAGCAGTCCCCTCACAGAGCCCAGAGCCAGGGACCCTCTCACTTAGCCCCTACTCTTTTTTTTTTTCCTCTTTCTTTCTTTTTTTTTTTGAGAGAGAGAGAGGGAGAGGGATAGATAGAAACATCAATAAGAGAGACATTGATCGGATGCCTCCTCCATGTCCCCTACTGGGGATCAAGCCCACAACCCAGTCATGTGCCCTGACCAGGAATGAATTCTTGGTTTTCGGGTCAAAACTCAACCATTGAGTCACACTGGCCAGGCCCTCAGGGCCCTACTCTTGACAAGCCATCTTACTGTTTTGAGGAAAACCTACAGCACAGAGGGCCCCCTTGCCAGGTGAGGTCATGGGGAGCAGGGCTGAGGAGGGCTTTGCTATCAGCCCTGCCTCTGTTCAAATCCAAGCAACTTAGTGTTTGTTCTTGGTCTTTTTCTCTAAGCATTGGTTCATCACCTAAAAGGGGATTTACTTCCTCAAAGGGTGGAGTGGGGCTTAAACAAGAACTTTTTATGAAATAAATTAGAATCAGCACATAATATGTCAGCTGACAGGCCATTGGGTGCCAACTTCTGTGGGTGACCTGGATTTGGATGGGCAAAGCTGACCTGGTATTACTACAGTTAATACAGAGACTAATTCAACAAACAGGTGGTCTTTGGGTCACACCTCAAAATGGGCAGAATCTTGGCTATGAGAGCTTTTAAAGTAAGGCATTGGTATGTAGAAAAATAATATAAAGTATGTAAAAATAAATAATATAAAATGGAGTTGTTGCTGCCATCCCACCTGAACTTATTCCTCAAACCTTTGGAATGTTAAGACAGGGCAAAATAACCTTCGGACTGTGGCTAACGCAACACCAGTGTCCCAAACAACTGTTTGTAAAGATAATATGAAAGCATATAATGACTACTGGGCTGAAAACGAGAATCACGTCTGGAATTAATGTCATGATGTTAGCTTATCTGCACCAACAGAAATGCGTTCCTTCTACTAATGTCATTGTGCACCAGGGGGAAAAAGGTATTGGGTTAGGGCCTCTGAAAGGAGAATTTTTTGAGTAAACTTCAGGCCTGCCCTGCCATTCTGTTTTCCCGATGTAAAGTTTCTCTACTTCCCGGAAATAAGCTTACACAGCCATGCCTCCCTAGTCTCCTGGAGCCTCCACCTTTGCAATCTGCGGGACAGCCTGGCCCAGGGTGCCACCTGCTGTCTACCTATCTCCCCTCCTGCACCCTTGGCTGGCCTCGGACTTTTGTTCTTTTGGCACTAACCCATGCCTGCTCATCTACCAGCAGCCCAGAGCACTTCCTGCCCTTTTGCATGACACCAGGATTCCCTTGGCCTTGGAGCCAGGTGAGATTTTCAGGGTTTCTCAGCGACCTTGAAGTTTGACACCAGAGCCACTGCTGTGGCATGTGGTGGGGATGTGAGGCTTAATCCGTGATTAAAAAAATCATTTCTTGCATCTTGTCTGTCTGTGCTTTCCTAGTTTGGAGCAGTGGGAGTAAGGTCACCATGGTGACCGTGACCAGTGGCGAGGGCGGGAGAAGGGAAGAGGAATGACTCATTGGGCACCTTCCCCGAAGGCTACCAGCTTGAGGTCTCAGGATGCGTTGGACCCTATTTTAGTCTACGAAATTTGTCATCATCTAGTGCTACTTCCCCCACTACCCAGAGGTGGCAGAGGGCTTGAGGGCCAGTTTCTGTCTCCATGGAGAATTACACGGTCAGCTAAGGGGCGATTTAGAAGGGGACAGGCCCAGAGGGCTGGGGATTTGAGCCTCGCAAATCCCGCGTTCTACGGCGCTCCTCGAAGGGAAGAGCCAGAATGAACTGAGCCTCGGACCACCAGCGTCCTCGACTTCCACCAAAGCTAAGGTAAAGCCCCTCCTTGGCTCCATTCTTCTTTGAGCTTCCCTTCCAATAAGTCCTGGAGTCCGCGATCCTAACGTAAGAGCACCCAAAGCGGTTCCAGACTTCCCCTTTAAGGCGCTCTTCCCCTTTAAGACGCACGGCGGCTTCCGTGGTGCCGCCCCCCTCGACCTTAAAGCCGCGCCCCTTAAACGACTTCCGCGAGTCAGCGGCCTGCAGCCCAGCGGTCACGGCCCCTTTAAGCCGGAGCCCCGCCCCCGGAGCCCCGCCCCACCTTTTCCTCTCCCACTAGGCCCGGCCCCAGGTGCCCCGGCGGCGGTGGGTCGGGTGGCGCGGTGCGCGCGACGGTGAGCGCAGGGCCTGGGGGACCTGAGGGCACGTCCACCGAGCTCTCCTCGTCCTTGCCGGGTCCCGGGACGGGGCTGGAGCTGCGCCTGGGGTGGGGAGGCGGGGGTGGTCCGGAGCGCGGGAGGGGTGGGCCTGGCTTGGCGGGGCTGGGGGAGGGGCCCAGGTGACTTGGTGGAGGGGATGGTCCCTCCTCGATGCTGGTGGGGACCGTGGGGCGCGTGTGGGCCTGGCGTCGCGGGCTGGCGGCGGTCCCACTCTGCCCTGCCCTGCCTTGCGGATACCCCGGTACACTACAGCCCGGTTGCGGAATTGTGCCCCCCGCCTCTCCCCCTACCCCCTAGTCTCCTGGGGTCCAGGCCCCTCCGAGGGCGGCCTGCCGGTCAGTCCCGCCGCCGGAGACTGCAGGCGTGGAGGCCGCTGGGGAGGCCCAGGCTGAAAGCTGTGGCCTTTGACTGGGGGGTTAGGGGGGGGTGGGGACACGAGAGGGAGGCGGCAGGAGAGCAGCGGTCCCCTCTCGGACTTCTGCCCGAGGTGCGGCGACAGCAAGAGGCACGGAGTGGAAGAAGGGCCCGTAGCTAACCTGGGACAGACGTCTGCCTGCCTCCTCCAGATCCTGGCTGAGTTGTGGTTGGTTTGGTTGTGACTCGGGGACCCGAGTTCCTAACCTTCTCTGCCCATCAGAGAGCTGGCGGTCACCATGGCAATGCGGGAGCTGGTGGAGGGCGAATGCGGGGGTGCCAACCCGCTCATGAAGCTGGCCGGACACTTCACCCAGGACAAGGCCCTTCGGCAGGAGGGGTTGAGGCCTGGCCCTTGGCCACCAGGAACCCCCGAGGCGGTGAGTGTTCTTCAGTCCTTGGCTTGGGGTAGAGGATACCTAAGTACACTGAGCTGCTTGCTTTCTTTCTCAGTGTGCTGTCAGACTTTTTAAAACATTGCAATGTACCCCACTATTCAGTCAAGGGCAGTGACCTCTTTTTCTTTAGATTGTCAAATAAAAAAATGACAGAGAGCCAACATAATAGCCAAACGCTGTGAATGAATTAAAATTAGAACTAGCTCAGCTGGTTGTGGTTCAGAGGTGGAGCTTCAGCCTATGAATCAGGTGGTTACAGTTAGATTTCCAATCAAGGCACATGCCAGGGTTGGGGGCTTAATCCTCAGAGGGGGGTATGCAGGAGGCAGTAGATCAATGATACTCTTTCTATCACCCTCTTCCTTCTCTGAAATCAAATAAAAAGATACATTTAACAAAAAACTAAGTGATACCTATTTTTTTGTCAGATCAGCAAAAAATTTATTTTTTGGTGTGCTGCAGAATTTTAGGAGTTTGTGTGTGCCATGAATGAAAAAGGTTGAAAATCACTGCTCATTGTGTTGCAAAGAATACGTACCACTTAATGAGTGTTTACTAAACAATATGCTAAGCACTGTACATCTTTACATTGATGGAGGCAACCATTTTATAGAGGAATAAACGAGGCTCAGAGAGGTTTTATTGTTTCCCTTCTGTCTAGGTTTCTAAGCCTTTGGGGGTAGCCGCTGAAGATGAGGTAAGTATCCTAGTCTCTTCTGTTTCATTTTCCTTTTGCCCATTGTGTTTTTACTTTATTTATTTATTTTTTTAAATATATATATATTTTATTGATTTTTTACAGAGAGGAAGAGAGAGGGATAGAGAGCTAGAAACGTCAATGAGAGAGAATCATCGACCAGCTGCCTCTTGCACACCCCTACCGGGGATGTGCCCGCAACCAACGTACATGCCCTTGACCGGAATCGAACCTGGGACCTTTCAGTCCGCAGACCTACGCTCTATCCACTGAGCCAAACCGGTTTCGGCCATTGTGTTTTTACTTTAAAGTTGGCTCACCCACATTTCAGTCTTTGGACTTTCCTAACCAAATGAAATTTGCTTTAGCCCTCTTGCTTATTTAAAAAAAAATGTATTCTTGGAGTATTCCCACATCTGTAGTTTCTGTGTTTTTATTTCCTTCTGTTTGACATTAGTAACCTCCATCCCATGGCCCTGCCTCTTGCTGGGGTCATCTCACCATCTCTCTTCTGACAGTTGGTGGCTGAATTCCTCCAGGACCAGAATGAACCACTTATATCCCGTGCCCCTCAGACCTTCAAGATGGATGACCTCCTGGCAGAGATGCAGGAGATTGAACAGTCAAGTTTCCGCCAGGCACCCCAGAGAGGTGGGTCCAGAGTCTGGTTGGAGGGGAGATCACCATTTTTTGTGCAGAGAGAGCCAAGGGGATTCCATATTTGGATGCTGCTGGGACTGGGAAACTTGAGATGCAGAAGGAGACAAAAGGAACAGTATTTTCATGTGCACTAAGGGTTCGTTAGGCATGAGAGAATAATATGTATTTCTTTTATTTCTTACTTCTCTCCTTTTTTCTCTTCAGCCCCTGGGGTGGCAGACTTGGCCTTGTCTGAGAACTGGGCCCAGGAGTTTCTTGCAGCTGGAGATGCTGTGGATGTAGCGCAGGATTATAATGAGACTGACTGGTCCCAAGAATTCATCTCCGAAGTTACAGGTGAGGCTCCTCATGGGAAAACCTGAAATGGTTCCCATGGGGCAGTCAGTATTTGTTTCCCTAATTCATCTAAGGGTATATTTATTTAGAGTAATTCAGCTGCTTATGACTTTTCTGGACTCTTGACTCATTTCTATGGGCCACTGAACCTGATTTCCCTTAGGTGATAATAATAGGGAACTGAAACTTATACCATATAGAGGACTGACTGGATTTGAACTGGATAAGAGAGGTGTGTGTGTGTGTGTGTGTGTGTGTCTGTGTGTCTGTCTGTGTGTCTGTCTGTGTGTGTGTGTGTGTGTGTGTGAGAGAGAGAGAGAGAGAGAGAGAGAGAGAGAGAGAGAGAGAGGGAGAATATGAATTATGTTTACTTTGTTACCTGAAACTTTATTACTTAGTTTGGTGGAGAGATTGGATGGATTTCAGTGTGGCTCCGGGAGACAGAATTATTTAACACAGCCTATGGGATTTTGGCATTAAGTTATCTTGAACAGGATTGGGCCTTGGAGAGTGAAATTGCTAAGTGCAAGGGCCTGAAATATAAGATCTTGGAGGTCAAAGGCCATATCCTAATGATAATAATACAAATTAATAATAATAGGTAATGCTTATTTACCATGTTTAAAGGCTCTGTGTTTAGTGCTTTCAATGCGTTATCTATTTAATCATGAGACCCCAGGAGATAGTTACTGTTTTTATTCCTAATTTTATAGATAAGAACTTTGCTCAAGGTGACAAAGTTTTGTGAGTGGTGGAGTTGGGATTTGACTCTGGGTTTGAATGATTCTAGACCCTGTGGCTTTAACCATTATGTAGTACTGCCAGTCCTACAACTTCAGCTCTTCAGGGTCTCAACCAAATTTTTCTTCTTTGAGAGCATCCATGCTCACTGTATCCTTTGAGATTGATGCATGGTGAATAGGTTGTGGAGTTGGGATTTGAGACATGGAAACATCAATGATGAGAGCGAATTATTGATTGGCTGCCTCCAGCATACCCCCCACTCGGGATCGACCCTGCAACCCAGAAATGTGCCCTGACTGGAATCGAAACGCGATCTCCTGGTTCATAGGTTGACGCTCAACCACTGAGCAACACCAGTTGGCTATACATGTTATATTCTTAAACCCATTTGAATTTTATAATAACACTTACAAGGCAGGATATATTATGGATAAGGAAACTAAGATTTGGGAAGCTTAAATACTTTGTCCAAAGTCTTGGAACTCAAGTCTGTTTGACTGTGGGCTCTATACTTAGAACCATTACATTATCATTGAGAAATATGAGCTGTAACAGAGACCCTTCACCAGACTGAAACTCAGTGTTTCATATAAACCTTAGATGTGCCACCTCTTATTACAGAGAAACTTCTGTTGTAATGTGTGGCATCAGTCATTTATCACAATTCAGAAAAAATCATTGCTACTATAAGCATTGAGACTGATGAGATTTTTGTTACAATTACCTGAATTGTTTGTAGCCATTGAAATCTTAGCCTGTAAGTGGAAAACAACTTAATAAACACATATTGGACTTTATCTTAAATCTATTAAATCTTCTTTGGGAGACCCCTTTTTTATACATTCTTTTTATTTTTATTTATTTTTATTTTTATTTATTTATTTATTTATTTATTTATTTATTTATTTATTTATTTATTTTTATATACATTCTTTTGTAACCATGCCTGCTTCATAGAGGCAGAGACACGGGAAGCTGGAAGGAGAAGTTGAGCTATTTTGCCGAGAGCGGTTTGGCTCAACGGATAGAGCGTCGGCTTGGGGACTGAAAGGTCCTGGGTTCGATTCCGGTCAAGGGCATGTACCTTCGTTGCGGGCATATCCCCAGTAGGGGGTGTGCAAGAGGCAGCTGATTGATGACTCTCTCTCATCGATGTTTCTAACTCTCTATGTCTCTCCCTTCCTCTCTGTACAAAAATCAATAAAATATATTTAAAAAAAATAAATAAATAAATAAATAAATAAATCCACTTAAAAAAAAAAAAAAGAAGTTGAGCTATTTGGAGTCTGTTGTCATAAAAATGTCTTATTGCAATAGTATATTGCTTTGTGTGTAGTAGATCTTCAGTATTTAGTGAATGAATGAAGTGAGATCTGGGAGAAAGAGCTAAAGGAAATAGATTTTCTAGTAATTAATTTTTTTATTATAACATTTGTGGGTGATATGATTATATTGATTATATAGATTACTTGTTACTATATGGATAAGTAGATGGAGATGAGAGAAGGATATATTCTTTTAAGTCCTTATTATTTTCTAATCTCTATTGTTATAATTCTAGAATTAAGTTTAAAAGGAACAGTGAACTTCAGCTTTTTTGTTTGAATGTTTTATTTGGAAATAACTATAGCTTCACTGGAAGTTGTCAAAAAATGTACAGAAAAGTTCTGTGTATCTTTTACTCTGTTTTTCTCAATGATAACATTTTGTATAACTGTTACGCATAATATTAAAATCAGGAAATTGCTTTTGGTATAATCCATAGAGCTAATAGATTTCACCAGTTTTACATGCCCTTATTTGTGTATATTTTTATGACATGTGTAGATTTGTGTAACCACCACTACAGTCAAGATATAGAATTATTCCATTGCACATAAAGCTAAATTTTTACTCTGCCAGATTTCTTGATTGACTATGCCCTCCAACCCTAATTTTCTGGGCCAAATAATTCTCCATCCATGATTGCTTAGTTCTAGGAATGAAACACATCCTTAAGGAGTTTTGAATTTAGACAGCTTCAGCTAACGTGGTGTGTGAGGTTCAATGATAATAAATCCTGCACTTTCATATGAAAAGCAGTGGGCAGTAGAAGCAGACGATGAGTGCCTTAGATCTCCCCTGGATGGCAGAGGAAGAGGCTATGGAATAACAATCTCACTGTGATGTTTTCTGCTTTTGGTGTGAGTTTGTCATGAGCGGGCAGGCTGTGATAGCAATAGTTAATACTTTGTATTTTATGTATGCATTATCTCATTTGGTCTTTATGACCTCTCTATGAGGTAGCTATTATTATTTCTATTTTATAGATTAGGAAATGGAAACTTGGAGGGTTAAGTAATTTGTCTGAAAATGCATGGCAAATATTTTTGGAGTTGGGATTTGAGTGCAGGTAGGTTGACTATAGAATTTACATTCTTTATTTCTGTGCTATTTATATTTAGCAAATGTGGAAAATTTTGTTGGATAAGGGTAGGAAGTTCTGAGTTTGGGGTGGATGTGCCTAGATGGAATGAACACACGATGAAGAAATTGTAAGAGGTGAACATTCTGAGTATGGGATGTTTGGTACCTGGGTTGTTAGTTTTAACTCTACTACTAGTAATCAGTGTGACTTAGGACAGTCTTTTTCCATCTGTAGGCTTTCTCAGAGGTATCCAAATGAATCTGATTTTCTCAAAAAATATTGTGAAGGCCAAACAGGTTCCTGTTGCCAGAAAATTCTGAGTCTTTTGGCTAATATGGCCAAATACAAATTATAGATATTTGAAGAAGTCTTTTCTTACCTTTGGGATTTTCTTTTAATTTATCTCATGTCTGTTTTACAGTCCAGGTGCTTTGTATTTTTTTCAGTTTGTATTTTCTTATCTTTGAGAGGAGCATTTCACAGAAATGGTGTTCTCTGTAAGGAGCACTTGTGGCCTGAGTATGCTTTTGTAAAACACTAGGTTGAGAGTAAGGAGAAGGAATTGATTATTCTTCAACAGAATGGGACAAAGGAACTGGGAGATATTATAAAGTCTAAGTGTTAAGCATCTCACTAGTAGGTCTCTATTCTAGTTGGGGCAAAGGAAAAATAAATGTTGCCTGTAAGAGCTAATGAGGGAAATATGGATATAAATATTGGGAATCTGTGACATTAAGAGTCAGAGTTCATGATAAAAAATATTGTCAACTTGTTCCTGCTCAAGCTAGCATCTGTTAGCTTCCAGTCTTCTGCAAAGTCTTGTGCAGCAAGTCCAAGGACTCTGAGTAAATCTACACCAGCAACAAAAGAGACTCATTTAGTAGCTAAAAAAATTAATATGTCCATAATTCTGATTTCTCATTTTGTTGTTTTGCATTGGCATTGTTGTTATTACTTAATAGCCAGAGTTTTGCTCTTGACATTCAAGTTTTGAAAATAACATGTATGTGGTTTAGTTTTTGCATTGGCAACAACAAAAAAACAAAAACAAAAAAAAAATCTGAAGACCAAAATAAACTGGTGAATATAATAGAATCAGGGGCAAAGAAGGGGAGTGGATTGATAATTATCAGGGGGAAAGGGGTGTGGGGGTACAGAAAGAGACTGGATTAAAATTGTATAACCTATGAATGAGGACAATGGCGAGGGGGGGAGAGGTAAGGGCAGAGGGTGTGGCAGGAACCTGGTGGAAGGGAGCTATAGGGAGGAGGGGGAGAAGGAGAAACAATTGAAATAATCTGAGCAATAAAGATTTATTAAAAAATATTATCAACTATATCTTTTATTATATTGGTAATATATTATTTATAATTAGGAATATTCTGAGAGTCTTGATCTTTTATCTCCCCAGATTTTGACATTATTAATATTTTCTCAGTTGTTGAGATTACTTTATTGAGTTTATTCAGATAAAGTCTCAGTTAAATGGAACAGAATATAGAGTTCTGCTAAACATTAATACTGAGGGGATAAATTTCCTCAGTATTAAAAGCAATGACAGTTCTTCAAACGGGACAAATACAGGAAGTCCATCTTAGTATCTGGTTTGTAAAGATATGGATGCAGAACAAAAGGAATGAACACTGCAGGCTCATGCTTTCTCTATGCTTACATATTCTTTAGGGTCCCTTAGAATAATTTTTCTTTGCCTTACCCCCCTGCTCCAGAATAGTAAAGGGCAAAGTCCTGGAGGTTGAGAAACAAACAGTTCAGTACCCTCATTCGACCTGTTGCCTTGATGTGTTTATTCAAATGTTGCAGCTGTGCCCTTTGTCACTAGAGCTAAGACATTTTCTAGAATTAGACTTAAAAACAGTGCTCAGAATTCAATTTACAATAGCTAGGATTTGGAAGCAGCCTAGGTGCCCGTCAGCAGATGATTGGATCAAAAAACTATGGTACATCTACACAATGGAATACTATGCTGCCATAAAAAAGAAGGAATTCTTATCATTTGCAGCAACCTGGATGGAATTGAAGAACATCATGCTGAGTGAATGAAATAAGCCAGTTAAAGAAAGAGAAACACTACATGACCTCACTCATTTATGGATAATAAAGAACATTATAAACTGGTGAACCAAAAAATAGATATAGAGATAGTAAAGCAACAAGCAGACTGTCAAATTACAGCAGGGAGGGTAGGGAGATCTGGGAGAGATAAGAGATCCACTGAAGGACTTGTATGCATGCATATAAGTACAACCAATGGACACAAAACTCTGGGAAGGGAGGGCATGTATGGGAGTGGGGGGGCAATGGTAAGATATGTACACAGAAATAATTTAATTAAAAAAAAGAGAAAAAAAATACACACAAAAAACATAGTGCTCAGAATTAATCAGTAGTGAATGAATTCAAAATAGTGTGTATCCCTAGGGAATGGAGACATGAGGGGACTATAAATATTCTATATCTTGATGTGGGTAGAGGTGATTTGAGTAGAAACTAATGAAGCAGCTACTGAAATTTGTTATACTTTATGAACTTTCATGTTTGTATTTTACATTTCAACTAAAAAACAAAAACAGAAACAAAACAAAAATACATCCAGTGGGAAGAGTGGACCCATGGATCTGTAATTCTCGCTCAGTGTTCTGGTTCTCAGATTCTCTTCGTAGGTATATAATATTAAGATGAAATATGAGGCTCCTTTTGTTGGGAGAGTGTGAACTCTGTAGATGGAGAACAGATCCGAGATTTGGTGAAGGAACTAGAGCTCTTCTGTTCTCCCTTAGATCCTTGCTGCTTCCCAGCAGTACCTTCGAGGAAGGTGAAGGTCCTAGCGCCTGCTTTTCTTATTGAGATTTCTGACACCTTAAGCAAAAGGCTTTGGTCCTTACTCTTTTTATTTGGTCTCCTGTTCCTGGTTCAGTAAATTTCCATGCCAGGCCCTTGGGGGAGTAGGTTGGATACTGAAAATTTAGTAGTATTTTTTCCGACCAGGGATCTCTAAGGGATTAAATAGGATTTTGTCTGCTTTGGCTTGGTCAAGGTAGTACTGTTTTTCCCAGCCCCTTCACTGAATCCTGTGTGATTTCTCCAACTCTCTGCTCCTTGCAGACCCTTTGTCTGTGTCTCCTGCTCGCTGGGCTGAGGAATATCTGGAACAGTCAGAGGAGAAGTTGTGGCTGGGAGAGCCTGAGGGAACAACTGCTAGTGATCGCTGGTGAGTGCAGCCATTTCTTCCTGGATGGATTCCTGTGGAAGGAGGATTGGACAGTTTTTCCAGCCTCCTCCAGTCTCCTCCATCTACATTCCCAAACCAACTTGCAAAACCTTCATTTTATACATTAAGGTTCCACCTGTATTATGATTTCTAAAAATCCTAACTGTCCTAACCAAAAGTTCATCACTTTACTTTCTGCACCCTGTTTCCTTTTTAAGTTGGAGCCTATGTATTCCTTTTCTCTGCAAAGATATGTTTGGGAAAGGGAGAGGTAAAAGGATATAGCTAGTGCTTTACACTCCTGCTCAGATCTCCTTCTTTAATGTAAATTGGAACTTGTAGGTCCTCAACAAGAGTAGATAAAATCATTCTATTTTCCCCCATATGAACATGGGCTGGGAGTGGGGAATAGCATGGGGAAGGTAATGGCTAACTAATGTGTAAAATTAGTTTGTCCGTACCTGTTCCAGGTATGATGATTATCATCCTCAGGATGATCTACAGCATACTGCCAGTGACTTTGTGGCCAAAGTGGATGACCCCAAATTGGCTAACTCTGAGGTGAGCCACACCCCTCTGCTGCTTTGCCCAGCAGGGCTGATCTTGGAAGTCAAGGGTCTTGCTTCTCTTATCCCAGTTCAGTTTATTTTTTATTTTTATTTTTATTTTATTTTTTTACATATTTTATTGATTTTTTTTTTTTTGCCCCCCTCCCTCCCTCCCACACATCCCCTTCCCAGTTCAGTTTAAAGAGAAGGAGATGAGATCCTTGGTCCATTCCTTCTAATTGAGAATGGAGACTTCGGATCTGCCTCTTCTTCCAACATCCTTCATTTCCTTGCCTACTAACTCTTTCCCCCCCCCCCCTCTGTTCCTTCTTAAATCTTTAGAGCCAGAAATCCCTTTCTTTTTGCTCTCTACCTTTTTTAGGGCCTTTAGCATATCTTGCTTACAGCCAAGATGGTTGGGGGGAGGGCTAAGTGCAGGCTCATCTTGGGCATGGTTGAGAGTGCACACCTGGAAGTTCTCTCCCGAGTGGCCTATGTGTGTCTCTGTGCCCCAGTTCCTGAAATTCGTGCGGCAGATTGGCGAGGGGCAGGTGTCCCTGGAGTCCGGTGCAGGGTCGGGCCGAGCTCAGGCAGAACAGTGGGCAGCAGAATTTGTACAGCAGCAGGTAGGAGATTGTCACCTCCCAGTTCCACTTCAGAGCCAGCTGGTGCCCTAGGCCTTAGGTTCAGTGTTCAGCAGTTCCAGATGGGGAAAGGATTTTATTGTCAGATGTCAGATGGTAGTATCCAGGTCTAAGTTTGTGGGAAAGAGATTCTGAGAGTGTTCTTCTTAGAAATGTCCAGGTTGGTGGTGTTCTGTGGGTATTTAGTCAGTGTTTAGTGGATATTAAGTTGTTGTTGGTGGTATGACCATCCTTCTTTGTCACAGGGTACATCAGATGCCTGGGTTGACCAGTTCACAAGACCAGTAAACACATCTGCCCTTGATATGGAGTTTGAACGAGCCAAATCAGCTATCGAGGTGAGAGCAGATAGTGTAGGAGTACACACCACATAAGAAAAGATTCCGTTGGAGCGAGTGGGTGTTAACTTCAAAGATGATGAGCATAGCGTTCCTGGATCATCTGTGTCAGAATTGTTTGGGGTGGGTGCCTCTCAAAAATGCTAATTCCTGCATCACCTCAGATGACTGAATCAGAATCCAGGAGGAGGACTTAGGAACCTGCATTTAGAAAAAGCTCTTCAGATACTCTGAACACATTGAAGTTTAACCAGTGCCTTAGGGAAATGTTCTAATGGAGCTGAGGTGGGGTGGGGTGGTCATGATGTACCCTTTTCTAGTTGCCTTCCCTTCCTTACAGTCTGATGTCGATTTCTGGGACAAGTTGCAGGCAGAGTTGGAGGAGATGGCAAAACGGGATGCTGAGGCTCACCCCTGGCTTTCTGACTATGATGACATCACAACTGCTTCCTATGATAAGGTAAGAACTAGATTTTCAGATCGCAGGATTTCCTTGTTTTGTTGTCTCTCCTTTAAATACTGAATTTGGATTTCACTTTTTTAACGTTTATTTTTTAATCCTCACCCAATAATATTTTTCCATTGATTTTTAGACAAAGGAAGAGGGAGAGACACACACACACACAGAGACATTGCTATGAGAGAGACACATTGATTGGTTGCCTCCTGCACGCACCCCTACCAGGGCTGGGAATCGAGCTTGCAACTGGAGTGTGTGCCCTTGACTGGAATCGAACCTGGGATCCTTCAATTTGCAGGCTGATGATCTATCCCCTGAGCCAAACAGGCCAGGGCTGGATACTCACTTTTAAGTAATTATTCTCTTAAGCCCCCTTTTCTGAAAGGAACTCTAAAACATTCCCTTGCCTCTGCTGACCTCTAGTAATTGAGAGAATGCATTATCCATAGACTATAAAGGTTAATATTAGACCACCCTTATTAAATAATAATGATATGATGATGTTAAATTTATGGTAGAAGTTTGCACACAATGCAGCAAGAGCTTGGGAGGTTGAGAACAGTTTGAGAAGATAGATAATTCCTTTCATGTGGAGTGGTAGACTCTCTGTGCCTCCACACCTTAATACTTATGTTCTTTTTTAACTCATGAGTTTACTTGAAATTCTGATCTCTTCCTTGAGATCACCCAATTTAGGTGTTTTCAAAGAATTATATTAAATAAATGTTAGGAAAATTTGCCAGCAGTCAGTGGTGAAAAATGATCAAATTTTGCATATAGTATATATTATTGACTTAGAAATGTATGTTATTTCAGGGTTATCTCTATGAAAAGTACTACCTGTGGGTTGTAGGGCATTTGGGGATGTGGTTAATAATTGAGCTGCTGAGTTGAAGCATGATAGGGAAGGGAGGGAATTGCTTGGTTTTGCAGAAGACAAAATAGGAACTGGGGAGATGAGTAGGGATATCTTTTTCTTAGCTCAGATCTGTTTGGGAAGGGATTCAGGGGCTATTACCAGGGATTGAGATATAAGGCATTAAGCTGAAGGCAAATCTTGACATAAGGGAGCTGTGCAGAGATAGAGACGAATAAAGTTGAAGATAACTAAAAGAACAACAACAACAATGAAAAACTTAGTACTAAGAGAAATATGATTTTGCCAGTCTGATTTCCTGAGACTATCCAGTAATATAATAGAAAAGAGCACTGACCCTGCCCTATGTTTTACCATAATAAGAGTTTCTTCTATAGTATTTTGATGAGCAAGAACTTTAGGAAATACCTGGAGATATTATTTTTATTTGTATTAACAATTTGATAAGTTGCAAAGGCCCTGTAACTTATAAGTGGCAAGTTATAAAATTTTAGATAAAAACTTACATGCTTTTGATAGATATCGACATAGCACTAGTTTCATATAAGCAGCATTTTCTCTTAGCATTTTTTACTTGCATTTCAATGACATGCTAGGCAGAATAAATTTTAAAGTTCAAAACTTAAAAACATAATTATGTTTTAGATTCTTGACCCCTATTTGATATCATTGATACCTTAGGATATTGCAAAATTAGGATTAGAAACATTTGTATTAATGTTTTACAAAAATATGCTTTACTTTATTACTCACTAAAATGTTTTTGTGCTGTGTTACTGAATTATACAATATATGTCATGGTACTTTCCCCCCTAAATGTGGATCTGACTCATGGTCAGATAAATACATGGGTTTCTGAATGTACTAATTTTTATTCATGGTCCTTTAATTTTTCTTTAAAATTTTTTATTATTTAAAAATATATTTTACCAATCTTGACATGAATATACTTTTTATACATTTACCCTAAATCCATCTTGCTTATGTCCTGCTTCTTAAACTTTTATTGTAATTATTTAATTTTTGTCACAAATAATTTGTATCTGATGACTTCTAATGGTTTAAAACTTTTTGGTAAGATTTCAATGTTTCTGATTCTTCAGCAGTTTTGCAATAATAGTGTAAAAGGGCCTTATTCAGGTATTTATCATGTATACTTTCATTCTAATTTTTCATTACATGTAGAAGGGCCCTCCCTGGTATTTTGCATCTTGTCATAATGGTATATTATTTGTGATGGTAACCATTTACTCTGCTAGAAGGAGCATTTTATTTGCTTGTCCCAAGTCATATGGCTTATTAGTGACTACCACTTTCCCTCATTATCTCTCTGCCTAACATGAAATGCCACTAGACAAAACTTTGCACAGAGCATCATAACTCTTCGCTCAAATGAGAATTCCTCAGCTAGAAGGGTTTTTTTTTTTTTTTTTTTAAACAATACTGTCCTCAGCTTTTGGGATTTAGCTATCACTTACCATCAATTACAGATGAGTATTAATAACTTTAAGAATGAAATTGGGGAATAAATTAAAAATTTCATAGTGCTTCAACACATGCTATTTTATTATTGTCCATGATAACTCCATGAGTTAGGTAAGATTTGCATTTGAATGGCAGGGTCTCTAATTCCAACTTGCCTTTCTTCTACATTATCACACCATTGCAGGATACCTAGAAATGCCCTGTGAAGAGCTAAGGAGAGCTTATCTCATTACTGTAAGCAAATCCTGGCAAGACATGTATTCTGTTCATTTCTGAGAAGTCAAGGATTTGGAAATTCAGGCCTATAAAGGGTTCCTAAATAAGCTCATACCCAGCATCGATCAGAGTTTGTAGGCCAGCCTAGCTTTCCAATTATTGTGAACAGGAGCTAGAAGTGTGAGCACAAAAGTGAATGACTTTACTGTAGTCATACATGATCTCCTTATTAATATGGAAATTTTGTCATCATTTGTTCAGATACCTTCCTGGAGACCTTCAACTTCTCCACCTCTGTCTTGGCTGTCACCTATTCCTGCTGCTTTGTGATGACTCCTTCTCATATGGGTTCTTATTTGGCTCCTCTTATTTCCAGGGGTACCAGTTTGAAGAGGAGAACCCCCTGCGTAACCACCCCCAGCCTTTCGAGGAAGGGCTGCGGCGACTTCAGGATGGGGACCTGCCGAATGCTGTGCTGCTTTTTGAGGCTGCTGTGCAGCAGGATCCTAAGCACATGGAAGTGAGTGACTTATTCTTCTGACTTCAAGTTAGAGACTGCTTCCTCTAGTTTTGAGGGAGATCCCAGAGTAGTCCAGATGGAATAGGGCCAGTGTGCTGGCCTGGGATGGGGTGAAAGTGAGATGATGAGTGGCGGGAAGCCAGAGGAAAGGAGGATGGAAAGGTAAATACAGGGCTGATGTAATCTGTCAACTTCTCTGTAGGCTTGGCAGTATCTGGGTACCACACAGGCAGAGAATGAACAAGAACTATTAGCCATCAGCGCCCTACGGAAGTAAGTACACTGAGGGGTGGGGTGAGGGGCTTCCAGGGCTCTCCAAATCGCCTTTAGAATAAGAGTCCAGATCCAGATCCTTGTCTTCTTTCTGGCCACATGATTGTAAGGTTTGGGGTGAGTTGACGATAACTGGTTCCATTCCTTCTACAGCTTTTGGTTTTATGAGATCCTGGCTGGTTCCTTGGCTGCCAAATTGTTCCCTTTCTCAGATCTGTAACTTTATTAGTAACTTACGTGTAGAGGATTCCTTTGTATCTTTAATCTGAGGGAATAGGCAGGTGAGGCCATCATGGCGCATTCCAAAGCTTGGCTTGGATCCCAGGGTACTGATCCCAGGGTGCCATTGTCACTGCAGTACCAGTTCTGTCCATTTCTGTTCAAACAGGTGCCTGGAGCTAAAGCCAGATAACCGGACAGCATTGATGGCACTGGCTGTCAGCTTCACCAACGAGTCCCTGCAGCGACAGGCCTGTGAAACCCTGCGAGACTGGCTGCGCTACACACCAGCCTACGCCCATCTGGTGGCGCCCGGGGAAGAAGGGGCCAGTGGCGCAGGACTGGGCCCAAGCAAGCGCATCCTAGGATCTCTGTTGTCTGAGTGAGTGAGGAGTGCCTGGGTGAGAATGGTAACCCAGTTAGGAGAACCTTGATTTTCGAAATCTGGATAGATTGAGACTCAAGGATCTACTTGAAGGAAATCTGCATTTTACAGTGTAATGTTGGGAGGAGACAGAAAAACAGGTTTCTAAATTGGAACTTGGGAATAGAGTAGGAGGATGGCTGATATATTGATAATCTCTAATTAAGGAATTGTTTTGGAAGGGTAGGAATATATAGACATATCCATCCACATTTTTCTCTCCTTTTTAGCTCCCTGTTTCTTGAAGTGAAAGAGCTCTTCCTGGCAGCTGTGCGCCTGGACCCTACATCCATTGACCCTGATGTGCAGTGTGGATTAGGGGTCCTTTTCAACCTGAGTGGGGAGTATGACAAGGCAGTGGACTGTTTCACAGCTGCCCTCAGCGTTCGTCCCAATGTGAGCCTCAGGGGAGGAATGGAAATAGGATATCACTCTGTACCTTGAAGAATCATTTGTTGGGACCTTTGGAGTCATGGGATAGTTCATTTCATGTTCCATGTACATATTACCTTGGGAGAATTGGGCAAAGAAGGGTGGGTGTGCAGAGCCATCTGAACTTAAGGGAGTCTCTATGGTGAGAGTGGTTACATTGAACCATACAATGAACTGTTGAGGGGAAGGGAATGGGATTGTAACATATATTAGCTAAACAGATTGGTGAACAGGGGAGGAATGGGAAGAATCTGATCTGAGCTTGGGTTATGTTTCTAACCCTTCTCCATCCCTATCCCAGGACTATTTGCTGTGGAATAAACTAGGGGCCACCCTAGCCAATGGAAACCAGAGTGAAGAAGCAGTAGCTGCATACCGTCGGGCTCTTGAGCTACAACCAGGCTATATACGGTCTCGCTATAACCTGGGAATCAGCTGCATTAACCTTGGGGCTCATCGGTGAGAGTATCTATTGAGTAATGAATGAATGAACTTCTTGGTGAGAGTATCTGCTGAGTAATAAACGAATGAACCTTCTCTCCCTGCCTTTGGCCCTAGCTCCTCATTCTCTGTTCCTGTTATTTGACTATCCATCCCCAGCTTTCTCCCCATACCAGCTGACCTACCTCCTTCCTTGGTGTTTTGCTCACCAGCTCTCATTCATGTTCCCTACAGGGAGGCTGTGGAACACTTTTTGGAGGCCTTGAACATGCAGAGGAAAAGCCGTGGCCCTCGGGGCGAAGGGGGTGCCATGTCAGAGAACATCTGGAGCACCCTGCGATTGGCATTGTCAATGTTAGGCCAGAGTGATGCCTATGGGGCGGCTGATGCTCGGGATCTGTCCGCCCTCCTAACTATGTTTGGCCTGCCCCAGTGACAGTGGGATGGGCTGCCCTGTGAGTGTCTGCTTGGAGGGGTCCCCGCTCTGGATGTGACTCCCTCTCCCCAAATGGGCCTACCAAGGGGGTGGGCTGATGATCATAAGCGGTACGGCCTCTCAGGAGTGGCTTCAATGTAGGGGCGGGTAGTCTTTGTTCTAGTTCCTACATAATTGAAGGAAAATGAGCTGTGTCTCTTGAGTCCCTTGGTAATTCAAGGGCTGCACACCCGCTACAGATCTCTGCATATCATGCCCTTTCTTGGTGCTGCTTTTTGGGTAGGACCCAGAGATAATAGGGTAACTGTTGTCATCAGCTGCCATTTCTCATAGGGTCTACCACATTTGTAATGTCTGCCTCTACACCTCCCCCCACTTTTATTGGGAATTGATAATAGTACAGCTTCCCTGGACAGTTATGTGTAGGTCATTTTTCTACCATGCACTTCTGTGATGACCATATCTAGGGCGGGATGGCAGGAGTTGGCCTGTTGGACTTAAACATTGATTTGGTTCAGCAGCATCAAGTTTTGGTAGGGGTGCTCATAGTTCTGTCATTCTTGGACCTCTCCTGGCTGTTGCTCAGATTCCCTGGGTACGATGCTGCACACAGAAATGCTGGCCTCACTATCTAGGGGTCCTCAAGAGCTGCTGGGGTAAATGGCTACACAGTGTTTGGGTGCTGGGTAGCAGGAAGGCTCACTTGTGGAATTAGCTGTGCTCTGTGCCCTTTGGTGGAAGGAGAGCAGCGGGACGTGGGATGTGAGTGCAGCAGTCCCTCCTCCCCTTAGACCTGTGAGTAGGAATTGAGCTGGTAGCTCTTCTAGTAAGTTGGTTCAGAAATTGCCATCTTGCCAAATTCCTAGCAAAGAGATGGTTCACTGTTACCTTAGGACTTTGCTGTACGTTTTGAAGTGTTTCTAGGGGAGAGTGTAAAAAAATCCCTTTCCCCTATAGTACCTCTGCAAGGTGAAGATTGAGGGAAGAGGAGGGAGCCTCTTGGATTCTTCTCACCTGTGTCCTCGTGGGGAACTACACTAACCTCCAGAAATGACTGCTGAGCCTCTTACCTTGTCATTAGTAGCTAATGATCAGAGATTTTTTTTTTTTTTAAACTACCATGGTCCCAAGGTTCCATTCTGAGATTTATTTTTCTTTGTATGAATATGTGTAAATGATTTTAAAATAAAATTGTAAAATATTTGTAGGAAGAATAAATGGAACTGACACGGGTCTGAGTTCTGTTGCCAAGTATGAAGTTGGGGTGTTGGGAAGTGGGTTGGTGTTTGGAGGATTGGGATTCAACAGTTTTCCTCTTTATCTTTTAAGTTCTCATTGGTGTACTGATTGCACATCTGTCTACCTAGTAATTATTCAGCACCTACGATGTACTAGGCACTATGAATAAGATGGATAGGTGCGTGTGTTCATGGATTTTATGGTTTATCAGGACAGACATGTTTAACAACCATATGCACTTTTAATACTTGTGTACTATAAAAAGTATGGGGGTGGTACTATGTCATTTTTGGTATTGTTTTATTGTAAATGACATGGGAGGATTTTTGTAGTTTTTTCCAATGCTTAGGGCTTTTAAAGGTTTCATTAGGCTCTGCCTGATTTTCTCAGGACTGGATGAAGAGCCAAATCAACATGAGTCACTGTTGTGGGGAAAAATTAGAAAATATAAACAAATATTTATATTTGAAAATAAATGTTCATGGCCACATTAGATACTACACTTGATCTTAGCCAAAAGGCCGAGAAGAGATGGCCACATTAGAATTAAAAAAAAAAAAAATCTAAAAGAGAACTTGTTCTGTAAATTTCTAGACAGTGATATATTATTTAGTTATTTATATTTATGGTATAGTTTCCAAGGCCAATAAATACTAACAATATAATGAGAAAAGGTTAACAAACCACAGGTTATCCCTAGGAAAAAAATGCACAGAAAAGAATAAAGAAATATTCCAATATGCTCAAAGTATGAAGATTATAAGTGATTTCCCTTTTTTGTTATATTCCTTTTATTTTTTATTTTTATTTTTTATTTTTAGTGCATGTGTAATACTTTCAGAGGAAAGAAAATAAAACACCATGAGGAGGAGGGTATCTGCGGCCACCACCTGGGTGATCTCAGAGGAATGGGCAGGATAAAGCCCCAGGCCTGGGAGTGGGCTGGGCAGGCTGAGGCAGCAGTTTTGATAGTGTGGAGCTTTCCTAGGAAGAATGAAGAAAGTGGCAAGTAAATGGCTTGAAAGCTTAGCTGACTTATTGTTTAAATGAAGTCTCCAGGTCTGTCTGCCTCGCCTGTGTTTGGTGGATGACGACATCCAAGAGAATACTTTTCTTGCATAGGCAGTGCCAGGTGCCCCTTGAACCCAAATCAAATTCAGCCAGTATTTATTGAGTCTCTGTCAGGCATCAGGGATACAATTCGCAAGGCAGACAAGATCTCTGCTTTTGTGGCTTACATACTAGGGGGAGAGACAGAATTAGCAAGTATATACCGACATTCCAGTTACTCGTGTGTTTTGAAAACATCAAAATGGCACATTGCACGGGAGAGTAAAGGGGAGGGTTTGGGAAGACAACGTTAGATAAAGTGGTCAGGAAAAGGTCATGAGGTGACCTGAGTAAAAGGGAGGAGCCAGCTATGGGAGTTCCGGTGCCAGGGGCAAGTGGGAAGACTGATGTGAGGTTAAAAAGCTCTGCAAGCCCACGGGAAGAAGGCTGGGGTGGAGAGGAATAGCAGGAGAGAGGGTAACAGGTGGTCAGGAGACATGGCAGGGAAGCTCTTTTTCCATTATGGTAAAGAGGATGAATTTTATTCCAAGTTCCACAAAAATCACTGGAGAGTTTTGAGCAGAAAAGTGATGTGTGATTTAGTTGCTGCAGCGTAAAGAACGGGTCACGGGGGGTGTGGAGGCTGGGTTGGAACTGAAGCAGGCAGGCCAGCTTGGAAGTTCCTTGAGTAGTAAGCCAGGTAAAGGGTTTTAGTGGCTTAGTGTAGCGTGGACATGGAGTGGAGAGGATGGATGGAGAATATGGAGCCAGAGAAAGGTTGGATGAATTCAATACATATACATATCTACAACAATAAAAGCCTAATAAGCTAATTAGACTGAACATCCTTCTGGACAACCTTCCGGAAGAAGATCCTGTCCTGGGTGCCAGAGGAAAGCCAATGCTGGCAGCCGGGGGAAGGAAGGCCTCCTCTTGCACGAATTTCGTGCATTGGGCCTCTAGTACACACACACACACACACACACACACACACACACACACACACACACACACACGTTTCACTGTTGGAACTTGCTGTTGGATTGAATGCAGAGGTAAGGGAAAGAAATGAAGGATAACTCCTGGCCTGAGCAACTGCAAGAATGATATTGCCCTCAACTGAGAGGGAAAAATAGTGGATGGAGCAGGTTTAGGAAGGAAAAAGAAGTTCTATACTGAATACATTATATCGGAGGTAGAGATCAAATATAGATTTTAAGTAGATCATTAAGTCTTGGGGATAAGTCGGCTATCTAGATAAAGTTGAGTGTCCTTTATATAGGTGATATTTAAAGCCCTGAGACTGGATATGTTTACCTAAAGAGAGAATGTAAATAAGAGGGTTTAAGGCTGCAAAACTGGATTACCAGGCATTTGTTCCTGTGTGATACAAGCCTTTGTAGTCTGCATAATGTGTATTAATGACTAAGGTTAAAACCATTTTATAAAGACATTAATTTAAATAATTACATTTAAATATTAATGAGATACAATTATTTAAAGACTCATGTACATTCATTTATATGCCCTTAAATAATGGCAAAGGTAATAACTTACTTTATTTTTAAGGCAAGTATTCAGTGGAAACTACACAACTGTTTTTTTTATTTTTTTATTCAATCTGCCTATTTCTTTTCTCCAGAAATTTACAGCCTCTGCAGACACTGCTTCTGACTCAAAAGGCTGGAGTCCTTTGGGATCCTGACATCACCTTGGGTTCCCTTACTCACCACGGTTCAGTGCTCTTAAGCTTTCATATAGGAAAACAAAGCCTCACTTGTTCAAAAAAGAGGTGAAAGTTTGGTCACATTAGACATTACATGACAGCCTTATATTTTAATGAAAAGAAAAGAAATAGATGATCCAGGGGGTAAAAACCTACCCACAATTTTAGGATAAAACACTGCCTGTCCTTGGGTTTCTAGCAAATCACACATTTATTCAACCCTTTAGGCCAACCGGTCTCTTGTTTTGAGGAAGGGCTGCCACCTAGGGCGATACCTTTTTTCCCCTCCAAGCTCTACTCTAATCAAAATTTTCTAGCAATCTGAAACACCCCCTAATCCCTGCTAAATCTCAAATGTCACAAAGAAAGAAACAGTCACAAGTTTGGTTAATATCTAACTTGATATATTTTAAAATCATTTTGAAAAATTCCAAGGAGACAGAGGGTAAATGGCTTTTCCTCTAAGTTTGACTACATACGCTTCATCAGTTCAAAAAAGTTAATGTGCTGATTCCATAACAACATCTGGCAGCCGCTGCTGTGCAGCTAAAATGACTACTACCACTGTTATATATCTGAACTTATCTTACTCTCTGATGGTTCTCAAAGCCAAGGCTATTCGAAGTGTTTGGATCACATTAAAACCAAGCACGAACTTGGAGAGGTGAATTTGCTTTTTACTCTTTCTTAATTTAATCAACCAGCTCAAGGCACTGGTTTCTTTTATTTTAAGTGAGAATGAATTACTCTCAATCTCTTTGTTTTGATAAGTGATCCAAAAGAAGAAGAAAACATATTCAGATGGTTCAGTAGGAGGAAGAAAAAACAACTATTTGGGAATACAAACAATTTGCTCGGGCAACGTTTGATGGCGCCAAACAGCAGATGGCGCCAAAGGAACTTAATAGCAGATGGCGCCAAAGGAACTTAATAGCAACCAACAGTTTTGCTTGTCATCTCCATTATTAGTCTGTTTCCCACCCCA